ACTTAAATAGGATGGGAATTTTAGTCTTTGCCAAGATTTTTCAATATTTGACTCCTTTCTATCAGCAATGGGTTAAGGCTTCCTGTTGATGACTGGGAAAAAGGAGAGTGAGATTTTCCCCCTATTCTTAAAATAACGCATCTGTAAAGACACCCTTCTTGGTCAATGGATGATAGTGACTCTCCATGACTAAGAGCTATTCAGAAAGACTTGAAAAATATTCCATAGAACTCCTCTTGGAGAAAGAGCCTATGTTTTATTTCTTCTCCTTTGAAGATTCCAAAATTTATAGATTATCAGCTTTCCTTTTCTCCACTCTTGTTGAATATGTTTACAATCAAGTGCTATTTACTCCATTATGTGTCAAAATTTCACACATGAATATTAGACATTTCAAGATGTCACATCAGGAAAATATACATTAGTGTGGTAGTTCTCTCATTGTGTGGTAGTTCTGATTTTCTCTTTTGAGCTACTTCCTCCATACTAATAAGTATACTTTGATCACCATCAAGAAGTTTACCAAATGCCCAAAACAAATGACTGGATCATGAAGATGTGTATGTGGTATACATACACCATGGAATGTTATTCAGCAATACGGGGTCCTATTCAGTGAAATAAGGAAAGATATCAAATGGTTTCACTTATAGGAGGAATGGGGGGGCAAATAAGGAATCAGGAAAAAAATAACAATAACAATAATAAAGCTAGCAGGCAACTGTGGATAAGCGAAATTATGCAAGGGAGGAGGAGCAAAGTGGACGAGAGCAGGGGAGAGATGCGTGCAGGAAATATGGTGATGGCTTATGGGCAAACTGGTAGTGGGAATTTTATGGGGAATACACAGTGATGTAAAAGACATAAATTAAGAATGAATATGTAAAAACAACTGGTTTATTGGAAAAAAACGTTTACCAAATGAGATGGGTAAACTGAGAATAACACACATACACATGCCTTAAGGCTGATTTCTCTGAAATTGTAACATTCTTTAATACTAAAGTCTGGGGAAAAGTAACAGAATAATATAAACTTCACCCATTCCTCATATTCTATATTTGCACAAATTAAGAATTATGTTGAAAAAGAAAAATAATTAAATTACTCTCTTTGCTGATCATTTTAAAAATATATTTGCACAGCTTGAAAGTAAAGGACTAAAACTCAACAATAATGAATGGATGAATGACACTGTAATAATTGACAGTACAGTGGGCAAAGATACATCTTTTCTCATCACATGGAAAACAGCGGTTCCTGATATTTCACTCTGGGATCCCAATGGAAAATCAATTAAATCATTCAATTTGGACAAAGCTTCCAAAATGGCCTACCTTCGTATTCCAGAAGCAATGGTAAGTGATCAGCTTTTAGACTTCCTCACAAATTTGTTTTATAGCTGAAAATGCATGTCATAATTCTGAGTGCCAACATTTGTATGATTTTCACAATTAAGGTAAAAATAAAGTGTAACTTCTATGCCTGTATAATTCTGAGAATTATCGTGGAAAGAAAAGCAAAAAAGAACTTAGGCATTAAGAATAAAGAAAACAAGGGAAAATTTAGGTAGACTAAGAATAACTTTGAGGAGGAAACGTAAGTGTCTGTGCAGTTTGGTGTGTAGATAGCTATAGAATCATTCCTCATTAGCACTACTAGACAATAGATGATAAAATGTGAGCTTAAAGAATGACAAGACTAACACAAACTTTTCAAAACTTGTTTTCCCTAGTTAGAATTTCACAATGCTTGGACACCTTGCATGATAAGTCAGTATGTTCATTCTAAACTACTTCAGTTCTCACCTTTTACCCTAAAAAACACTCAAAACTCTGTTTAATTCCATTAACACAAATAACACTTACTTTAGAGTAGGACAATGAAAACACAGAAAAATAGATTGATCTTGTAAACTCATTATATTTTCATTGAAATGTTTAGGTTGGCCTTTGGACTTACAGTGTTCAAGCCAAAGCACATTCCGAAATATTAACTATTACTGTAAATTCTCGGGCATCAAGTTCTTCTGTGCCTCCAATCAGAGTGAATGCTAAAATGAATAAAGAAGCAAACAGTTACCCCAACCCAATGATAGTTTATGCAGAAGTTCTACAAGGGTATACACCTATTCTTGGAGCCAATGTGACTGCTTTCATCGAATCACAGAATGGAAATGCAAAGGAACTGCAACTTTTGGACAATGGTGCAGGTAATTCACCAGTTTCCATGAATAAGCCTATTTTTCATAATAGGATACTTTATCCTGTAGGACACACAGCAGAAAAAACTGCTGCAGATAAAGGGTGAACAGCAGGGCCAGAAGTAAATTCTATGCAAGTGAAAACTACAAAGTAATTACCAAATTATCTTGCACATGGCAAGTACTCAAAAATTGTATTAACTTTCAATACTGTCTGTCATCTAGATATCTGATGTCAGGCACCAATTAGGAAGGTCTTGTTCAGAATAGTGAGGACACTAAAGATACTCAACAAATGTTTCTTAGGGGTGTTTCATCAAGAAATCCTGCCCAGGAACATAAAGCACAAGCAATCATCTGAATGGGGTTTGTGCCCCTGGCATGGAAAGGGGATAGGCAAGAAAAATTCCCAACAGATGGAACAAAGTGGAAGTGTGGTAATGAGAACTGAGGGCTAAGGACAGGCAGAGCTGTCACAAGTGCAGAGAACATCACTGGGACATCCGATACCAAGTGTGAGTGTCAGCTAACAAGATACAGTGTTGGGTATGGGTGTTACTTAAGACCTTTTCTCCAGATTCTGAATTATTTAGGGAAACAAATCTGTATATGAAAGGTCAATGAGCAAGAAAATTGCCATACTGATAACTAAGTTATCAGAATTTTCTGTCAGTATCTTTTGTATTGTAGTTAATACAGCCAATTTATAATACAAACATCAACCAGACTTATCCCTGTGAAAAGTTAGAAGGCAAAGTTGTCCCTTGGTGCATCTGATATGACAATCTGTTCCTCAACTGTTTGACAAGTCCCTTTACCCCAAACTTTTTCATATTAAAACTTACCTCCATCCTTTCATTTCTCAAGGTTTAACAGATAATTATTTAGCTAATTTCAAATGCTCGTACACATATGAAGGTATTCATGATTTATAATGACTATACAGAAGATCTCAAATTTCAACATGCAAAGGAATCACCTAGAGGACTTAAGACAGAATGTTGGGCCTTCCCTCAAACACTTTGCATTCCTAGTAAGATCCAGGGAATGCAGATGCTACCGGTCAAAGGGACACATTTTAAGAGCCTCTAGGTTAAGGTATTAAATCCCTTGAGAAATGTATTTCAATTTAACAAATCTATTACTGGTAAAATCAAGAATTACGTGATATTCCTGAGCTCCCCGTAATGTTTATTCTAATAGCAGATGGAATTTCCTATTGTCAGGGCAGTGAGTTAATAGATCACAGAGCAAAGGTGAGGATTTTTTTTTAAAAAAGTGGTTGGACATAAGTAATTTACAGATGATTGCTGTGAAATTTAAATAGAATGCAAAGATACTTTCTCTATCAGTGGTGTAAAGACAGATGAGGACAACACTGTGTTTAGATAAAGTACAATGTGTCAGCAAACCACTTGCCTAAGAAATGGTAAGAAAAACATTACAACTATCCCCATGTAAAATGATAATTTTAAACCCTTTATTATAAATACCAGTGTTGTATGTGTGCAATATGCATATACATTATAAAATATTATACAAATATGTAATATTTGTATATATAAAAAACATGTTAGTATTATATACTTATAAATTCAAGGATGCCAGTTCAACAAGCTAAAGTTAGACAGAAGAGGAAATATTACTCAGAGGGTTACTTTCAAAATAGGGAACCTAATTAAGAGACTATGCTAATACTAATGATATGTGTGATTTAGAGATTGCATAATGTTCTCATTTTCTTTACAATAACTTATTCTTCCGTTTCTATAATAAGGTGCTGATGCCTTCAAGAACGATGGGGTCTACTCTAAATATTTTACAGCTTATTCAGAAAATGGCAAATATAATTTAAAAATACGGGTTAATGCAGGAACAAGTGCCACAAGAAGTTTCAGACATCACTCAACCAGAGCTGCATTTATCCCAGGCTGGGTGGTTAATGGTTAGTAATTTATAAAAATTTATAAAAATTCCATGATGAATTGAATGATTGTGAGTTGATATTACTATAGCTTCAAACAACTTATAATTCAAAATATAACTTTTTCTTTTTAGAAGTTCTCAGTCATGTTTGCCTCCAAATTAACTTAAATTTTAATACAGTGTATGGCATCTAGTTAGCTCTTAATAAAAATGAACCACTATTATATTAGTATCAAGCACCTTATCTATATACATCAACAACTGTATTCCTAATTTTTAGCCAAAGATAAAGGAAACAGGCTAATATGTTATGTGTCCAATCACAAGCCAATGGTAGAATTTATCTTTCAGGTTATACATCCTGTAAAAGATATATAGATGTAAATATAAATATACTTTTTGATGAAAAAAAATGCTGAGTAAGGTGATGATAAGGTTTAAGATGAATTCTTTGTTGGGTTCCCTTTTTCTTGTCACTTGTGACTTTTAGGGGTTTTCTTGTTGGCAACTGGAATATAACCTGAAAGATTATGCCTCAGCTCTAGCAGCAGGGAGGGAAGAAGGGACCTGCCATGAGTGAGTGGAAGGGAACCAGTAGCTATTTCCCCAGGTTTTTTCCAGTTTGGAGTTCATCTGAAAGATAAAGTAGTTCCTTATTTTTTAAAGGCATATATTGAATTAGATATCACTACTCCCCTTATTGCAACATGAATTACAAAAATATTTTATTATCTGATTCTATACTGCAATAGACTAGTCCATATTCTTAAAAAAATTCTCCTCCTAACTGGATATGCCTGACTTTGTCACCAAAGGTAGTAAAATATAACTGTGTATGTACTGTGGGGAAGAAGTAAGGGTAGGGGAAGATAGATGGGAAAGAATTCAATTCTTTGAGTTTGGAAAATTCTAATACAGTTTTGTTCATTAAGTATGATGAATATTTTAATACAGGGAAAATTGAAGCGAACCCTCCACGACCCAAAATTGAAAATGATACGCAGACAACCTTGGAGAGTTTCAGCAGAACAACAACTGGAGGTGCATTTGTGGTTTCAAATGTTCCATCAAATCCTTCCTCGTATGACCCATATCCCCCAAATCCAATCACAGACCTTGAGGCCACACGTGATGAGGATGAGATCAGCCTAACATGGACAGCTCCTGGAGATGACTTTGATGTTGGAAAAGGTAAGGATGAAGGGTCATAGATACTGTTGATTAAGTGAAAGGTACGCATGATAAAAGTAATCACAACAGTGGGAGACAGAAAAGTCAACTTGAATTGATAGTACATTAAAGTATTAACTTTAAAATCTCATATTTTTGAATCAATGATGACACTTTTTTTTCTTTTATTGAGCTTGATAGTATATTTGCTTATAAAACTATGTGGATTTCAGCTGTTCAATTTCTAATCTCAGTAACTGAATAACTGTGTATGTTATACCACACTCACCACTAAATGAAGGGTGACACATTTTAACTGCTCCAACATTCATTTGGCAGAGATTAAAAATAAAAATTCTACTTTCATTAGAAAAATTGGTTTGTATATAGGAATATAGTTTTGCATAGTGAGCAATGTTTTTCAGGGAAATGAATAAAGAAGAATTTACCATGATATTCTGTAGTTTCTGAATTAAGTATTTTTTTTTCTTAGTTGAACAGTACATCATAAGGATAAGTGGAGATATCACTGATCTAAAGGACAAGTTTGATGATGCTATGCAACTAAACACCACTGATCTGTTACCAAAGGAAGCCAACTCCAAGGAAACCTTTATATTTAAACAAGGAAATACAGCAGAAGAAAATGCAACCCACATATTCATTGCCATCCAAAGTGTGGATAAAAGCAACCTGACATCAAAAATATCCAATATTGCACAAGTAGCTTTGTTCATTGCTGAAGCAGACACTGATGGAAGTCACCCCAATTCAGGAATTAACATTTCTGCTTTGGTGTTGATAGTGGTTGGCTCTGTGGCAGCTGTTTGTATTATTATAAGTACCACTGTTTGTGTATTAAAAAAGAAGAGAAATTCCAGTAGACCTAGTACAGGATTTTAAAAAACAATGGCATATCAACAATAAGAACAGTGAAGGGTATTTCTGGATTTTAAAAGTCATCCTGGATCACCATGAGCCCATAAAAATAATGTTACCTGTTGAAAATACATAAATATCCATAGGTATTCTAAAAATTATGAATAAATGTTAAAGTTTTAAAATTGTATTTACTCATTTCTTTTTCATAAAATGTGATAAAGATCCTCTTTCATATTGATAACTGGTTAATTATTATTCATTATAAATATGCTTTAATCAGTGGGAATTAGCTGAAAGGATAAGAGCTTCCATCTTGGGTCTTAGGAACTCTAAGCTTCTATGTAAAAAACTCAGCTATCATGATGCAGAGACTACAAGAATGGTTCTGAAACTCCCCAGAGAATAAAAGAGCTTCTCAGCTTCCCAGGCAACCCTAAAGATAGTCCATTTGCAGTTAGGAGACTCCAACCATGACAAACAAAGAAAATGCCCATTTAATCCAGTCAACCAACCAACTGAATCATGGAGAAAATAAAATGGCTATTATTTTAAGTAATCATAATTAGCTAGACACTAAATTACTAAAATAACCTACATTATCAGTCAGGATTCCATCCAGGAAACTAAACAACTATGACTATTAAGAGCAGGGAGTTTTTCATAGCAGGAGCATAAAGGACAGGGTGAGGAGGCGTGGACAGAAATAATAATTATGAACAACTATATACCAGAGACATTTTACGGGGTGAAGTGGGGAATGGGATCAAAATATGATGTTGGCACATGGGTGAACTGGTGATGGGAAGTCCATGAGGATTACAAC